CTTATAAACTTAGTTATCATTAAATAATATAAGAAAAAATGAATTCTATCACTTATAACAAGATGTAGAGAAGGATCAAAAATAAAAATAAAAAAATAAAAAAATAAAAAAATAAAAAATAATATAAGTTTAAAAGTAAATAATCTATAATCTATAATATGCTTATGTTTTGTCAAAAAAAATATTGATTTATTTTAAATCAAGAAAGATAAACATCTTCTATTATGAATATATTCAAATAAATTTATCAAAGATAAGAATTTAAAGAATGTATATTCATAGTGAGATTTATATAAATGAGATATGAAAAAAATAGATATATATATATATATATATATATATATATATATATAAGAAGAAATTGAAATGGTTATTGCTAAAGACAAAAAGACCTAAGACTCTTGAAACCAGATTAGAAATAAGAAAGAAGTTTAAGAGAGTAAGGATGGCTTTATTTTTACCTTTACAATTACTATCTCCTAAGAAAGCACAAGGCAATACTATAAATGCTACATAACATATGTCCAACTTATAAGACATATCACAAACTTGTAGAATAAGTTTTCAATATATATACTATATGGCCAACTTGTAATATAAGTGGCTAACATGTAAAGCATATGGCCAACTTTTTGGTCAATTTTTTAAGCTATCAATCATCTATAAATATGTATAGAGTAAAATTTGTATCTAAAAAGCTTCTAAGAAGCTTTCTAATAAGATAATAATAATGAATTTTTTATAAAAAAAATTCAATCAAATATATATATATATATATATATATTAGTAATTATAGATATTTTTCACATATTATAATGATCCTTTCTAGCTAAATTGGATTTTTTTGCATTGGAAAAGATTAATACCTTTGTTGTCAACCTTTAAAAAAATTCAGTACCAATCTACATAGATATTTTCTACTTATATTGGCTCCTTGTTGTATTGCAAGCATATGATTAAGTGTTGCCACATTGATCCTCTCAAACTAAATTGACTCCTAGTTGCATGAACAATGGTCAAAATCCTTCATATTGAGCTTCAAAACATTCACTACAAATATGCATTATCTTATTATGTAAAAATTAACTTGAGAATGTCAACCATCCTCTTATTCTAACCTCAATAAAATCTTCTAATGTTAATATCTCTTTCTTAAACTATTAATTTATATGATTGTAAAAAACTAAGTAAACCATTAATATACAAAAAAAAAATTATTTAAAATTGTAGAAACTCTCATTGACCTTCACAACCTAATTTCTAAGATCTTAATTCATGTGAATTTTAATTACTTTGAATCTAATTGTCTAATTAAACTCAATTTTACACCAAAAATCTAACACAACTACATTCACAAACTTACAAAATTTCATTTGTAGATTTTTTATAAAACTCATATAATTTACCAAAATCCATTTTTTTTTTTTTATTCAGCACAAAATAAAGTCTTGCAAAACAAACTTCACTTTGCAAAGCTTTCACAAAGCAATATAAATTCAAATTCCTCAAAATAGTACTTAAAAAAAAACCTATCAGATTTGCTCTAAACTATTGCTCTTTAATCAACAAACAAACCTTATATTTGTCATGGGTGCATAGTTTTGTGCTTTAGGATCTAGTTTTGATCCAAGTACATAACCAATCATCTTTGGATATCAATCTAAGGTTTTTCTAAGTAATTCTTGTTGAAAGCTACTCTTTGCTTTTACTTTAAGATACTCATATTTTTATTTTGGCTAACTTATTTTGTTTTGACTTGTTTATGGCCCTCCAAAGTAAGCAAAAGCTATTTTTTTAAATCAAAAAACAGAATTAGTATCAAATTGTTTTTACTACCTTCTTAACTTTTATCTATGTTTTTAAAGTAATTTGCTACTATAAGCTCTTTAATAATATAAATTTTTTTAAAAAAATTTAGCCAATAGTTTTGTTACAAAAATTGGCTCCCAATTGCATTAGTGGATGTTAACATCTTTTTTATTGATCCACAAAAAAACGTCACCAATTTTCTAAGATTATCTTTCTTTGTACACATTCTTTATATTTTACAACCAATTTAAACCATAAAGTTAAAATTTACTAAAATAAAAAAAAATTATATCCAAAATCTAATGTTTTTATGATATGATATAAAAAAAACCTAACATTTATTTGAATGTATTTTAAATTCAATTTTCAATAATAACTTGTTATTTTGTCAAGAATTTCACTCTATAAAAAAATATTAAGATTAAGCATTATATTGTCTGTATAAAAAATAGTAATAAAAAAAAACATTATAAAGTACAGTTTTAAAATTTGTCATGGAGAGTACATTGTACAAGTTATGCAAAAGCCTTATTTAATATATTTAAAAACTAATACGTTGTTAATTATCTAATGTGGTCTTATTTTTGTTCTTGTAAAGAAAGAACATGAAGCTTCTATGTTAAAGATTGTACAGCAATAATTTTTATTGTCAAACCATTAACTATTCAATAGTGTGATTAAATTTTATAATCTTGATGAATAACACTTTATGCATATATTTATTTGTAGTTTATTTTATTATTTAAAATTATTTATCAATTATAAAATTTAGAAAATATACAAAAATAGTTTATTTAGATTTGCATCAATTCAAAATATGCACACTTACAAAGTTTTAAAAGCAAATCATATATATATATATATATATATATATAAGTAGATATTTGAAATCTTTTTAATAAATCAATTATTGATAGATTTTACGTATTATTTGTTTATTATCCACCTTTATATTTTCAACCTCTTAAACTTACTTTTAAACTATTCAATTTATTGAAATGGAAATTAATATAACCAAGCCAATTATATTTATTATGATAATTTAATGACTCTGGATGATGTGTAAGAATTTAGAAATTTAATTTAATTTATTTTCTGTAAACATCAAATTATTTGTAATTCTTCTTTTCAGAAATGATCATAAAAAATAATCATAAATATTTTATAATACAAAAAAGTTAATTTTGGTAAAATCAATAATTGTTCAAATTAATTATGTTCTTAAATTAATAAATACTGGTTTCTATTTATTTTTATACAATTTTTTTCTTAAAATAATGCAATTGAATACATTAATAGCAACTACTACATCCAGAATTTGAATAATTTAACATGTGCTTTTTTGTTTTGTTTTGTTTTGTTTATAATAAAAACAAAACAAAAATAAAGAAGAATAGAAAAAAAAAAAAAAAAAAAGTAATCATTATCTGCACAAAAATGATCACCTTTTTATTTTTCTGATTTTATTTATTTTGAATATCACATCTTCTTGAATTTTATTTGAAATTCTCAAACAATCTTCAGAGATATCAACTATTAAATTTTGAATATTACAAAAACCAACATTGGACGCCTTGTTTTGGTGTGAGAGCAGTGTGTAAAAGTAATTTTTCAATGTCAAACAATTAAATACAACAGAAAAAATGCAACTAAAACCGCAAAAACATATTTTTATCAATACCACACAAAAATTAAATAAAACACATACACATGCAAATCAAACCATCAGTATGTTTTAAATGTAATACAAAAGAAATACCAAATACCACTACATGAATCTCGTGGTTTTGGTTTGTAGCATATTTGATGATTTTTTATGTATTAAAATTATAAATTCATAAAATTAAAATTATTATTCATTATATGTTTTATAATTCTTTTGAAGAAACAAACATATATAAATGAGTTTTACCATCACTATTATTATAACATATTGTAATAAACAAACATTGTTTATAATTTCATATATATAATATTTATTGTATATATAAGATACATATAGATATACACAATTATTATAAAAATATTCTGTTAGCTATATTTCTTTCAACTTAAGTTTCATAAACATGTCATGACTTTTTTTATGAAACAACGTTGAGCTAAACTCTTTTTACAATGATTAGAATATGCTTAGGCAAAAAATTTAAAAATTACTTTATCTCTATAACTAGATTATTTTGAATTATTATATTATATAAAATTATATAGCACTATTTTATGATGAAACAAGAGAAAACCATTAATGTTTATTAATCATAAGTATATATTTTGAAAATCTTAAATAAATATATGAATAAATATATAATCAAATGAGAGTATCAATTTCATATGATTGTTTTGAATTGTTTTACATGACATTCAGAAAGCGTGAATATATAATAATTTTCGAATCCATGGATTGATTGAATATCCTTCAAAAATTGCAACCTGACCAATCTATTTGTATAAAATATCAAATACATCTAGCAAAAATTGTATGTTGATAAGATAGTAGCATAGCACAATACTCGACGAAGGGTTGCAAAATATTCTAAACGTAATGTGGTGAAATGGGAAGATTGCATTTTTATTTTCAAGGATGGTCAAACATAAAAATCACAACTCTAAAATGTATGATAATCATCAGAATCCAAAACACATCAGATTTTACTTGAATTGATAACATCACATGCAAAAGCTCTTGTGTTTTCCTTCTATTAATAGCTTCAATAGATGGATAGAAAAAGAGGAAGACCCTTCTATCCTCTCCACCAAGTTTATGTGCACCAGTGTGAAAAGGATTGTGGATCGGGGGCCGAACCATGAAGGAAGTGTCGGTATGCATGCCTACCAGTGCGATGGCCGGCGCTGCTCGGCGAGGAGTTCCCACCTTCGGCGGCCGCTTGCAACTAGTGATTAGTTGAAGCAGATGAGTAGTGACGACAGCAAAGTCATTACGTTCAATACCTCTGCCGGAGTAAATATGGTCATGACCGTGTTCAGTCAACAGCAGCCATAGAGTCAATCACAGGAACCTTCACGAGTTACGGGGTCAAGCTTGAAGCAAACTGCGAAGGGCACCGCAGAAATAGGCACCACAAAGTTGCTGAATACCGAACGTTGACGAGAAAAAAGTAGACCCATGCGTCGCTTTCGCTTCAAGTCTCTGAGATTCTTCGAATGGAAAACCGTCCAGGTTGCATTCTTGTCATTTGCTGAGGGCTGTGAGCTCCTGGGCTCCACTTGACATTTCATCACATAGTCGTCATCTAGATTTCGTAAACAGCCACGATTTGGACTCCTCGACTTGCTAGACCCGTATTGAATTCCGCATGATTGTCGGTCGTTGGAGATATATATATGTGATCTGAGGCGGAGACGGTATTCTCACATTCGGGCATGACCTGGGTAGCGAAGTTATGATTGCCAGATTATCGATTGTTCACTTGGTGAGATTCGTCTCAAGCTGGATTGTCTGGCAAACGGTCATCCTAGACTACAATGTAAAGGTTTTTACAGAGTTTGTCGCTTTCTTCAACCTACTGGTAAATCTTCCGACCCGGGGTAGAATTTCTCTTGTCTGTGGAAGACTGGTGTTTGTGTGATTCTGAGAGGAAGGCAAGTACTCCCAGAGCTCAGTGTATTCATGCTGCTCAGACCGCGTGATGAATGATTGAACCATGCGCATTGGGATTATTTACAATCGGGGTGTGGAAATTTGGCTGTTTGTTGTTTACTTTGATTGCTCGGCAGATTAGATCCATAGCTGAAGAGAGAGGTTGCAGATGAGGATCGAACATCATTCCCACAGAAATCCGAGAGTAGCTCCTACTTAATTAGCTGCTGATTTTGAGAGCCGCTTTGAGTGATGAGCAGAAAATCGAGAATTTGATACGCACACCTGAATCGAATCCAGCTTGATTGAGGTTGTGCAGATGGCGGAAGCTACCGCAAGAAGTAGCGATGTGGATCATAAAGACTGCGCAAGTGCAGCGCAAAATGGAATGAGGGTTCTCTCTCCATTGCTATTCGGACACGCCGCGGCAATGACACTTAAGACTGCGGTGGTGCTCAACATCCCTGACATACTTGCACGAGCTGAACCCGAGAGAGGAGCTCTCTCCGTGCACGAAATATCCAAAGAGCTTCCCAGTGATTCCGTAGACGAGCAAGTGCTTCACCGAGTCATGAGGACGTTGGTGCACCTCAAAGTGTTCTCCGCAGAACGAGTGTCGGAGTCTGGTACAACAGTTGCTCGGTATGGACTGACGCCTGCTTCAAGGAGGTTGGTGCAGGAGAACAATAGTCGGAGCCTTGCGCCGTTGCTGATGTACTTAAATTACATATCCTCCCACGTCCCCTGGCAGCATTTGCACGAGAGTGTCTTGTATGGGAAAGACGCTTGGGGAACAGCTTACGGAATGGTACACTAAAATGCGGGATCGAATTAATACGTTCAAATAGTAAAATGTTAGACTAGATTGTGCACTCTTCGTGTGGATCTCATTCCTAGCTCTAATCTGTTTCATGCAAATACGTCTTGTGTTCGCAGACTTCTTGGGAGTACTCGGATGTTGATCCTGAGTACGGTGCATTATGGAACGCATTTAACAAGGTTCAAGGAGCGCCGACGATCGAAGCTCTGAAGCGCTACGACGGGTTCAAAGACGTGAATGTTCTTGTAGACGTCGGGGGCTACCAGGGTGCCACCGTTGCAGCTATAGTCGCTGCTCATCCTCACATTCGTGGAATCAATTTCGATTTGCCTCACGTTATAGCGGAGGCTCCCGAGTTTCCTGGTATATGCCTCCCATGATATCCGTGTTATCCTTATTATCGGATGCGGATTTTTAATTCTGATGGATCGAGTACTAGTGGTTTGAAATAGGAGTGGAACATGTTTCTGGACATTTGCTCGAAGGTGGTGTACCGAGTGGCGATGCCATGCTCATGAAGGTACTGCACAACCAAAACCCTAAAGCATTGCTTGCTTGGAATTAGTCAGAACACACCGTCTCGTCTTTCTAGATCTAAGAAGACGAAAGAGCTAAGCCTGAACGATTGATTTTGTCTGCAGAATATTGTGCATCTCTTCAAGGACGAAGAGGCTGTCAAAGTCCTACAAAATTGCAAGAAGGCGCTCACGGCGAATGGGAAGTTGCTCATCTATGATCCTGTGATTCCATCCGAATTTGACGAGGGTGGTAGTCCATATGACGGAGTGCCGCCACTGATGGATCTGGGGCTACTGGTGTATGGTAAAGTAGATCGGACTGAGGAGCAGTGGCGAGCTTTGTTGGCAAGCGGTGGATTCCCAAATGCAAGTTTCGTTTGTCTGCAGCCGCAACACTGACTAATTGAAGCCACCCAGTGAGGATTACTAATAATTCTCTCAATATGTCCCCATAATCAGAAAATTAGTAATACAATAGTTTCCTCTTATTAATAGCAGCGAAAGGTACACAATGGTAACATTTGTAAGAGGTAGGCAAACTCCTCTTTTAAGACGAGTTATTTAATCTGTATATATCCAAATTTCATGCTACGACTAGTCATTGGAGCACACTTGCTTTCACGCAATCCATAGTGACAGTCAACATCCTTCTCGTGGTTATAATCTTCTTTAATTACTTGTCGACACACCACATGACCTGTCATACCCAACTGCGTTATCAAGCTGCTGTATGAGAATACTCGATGTTTTCAGCTATCTGTTGCAATCAACAATGCAATACACGAGTTGTCACCACGTTACTGCACTGCGCTGTAAATCACGAAGGTTTATACCTATACAGTTTGCCAAAAACTTAAATACGCACTAATATGGAATCTTGCCAATGTCAATGGCCTATGAAGGAGCAATAGTTTCAAATATAAAGTCTAGGATTCCACCGTAGCTACTTGTGTCTGAAATATAACCAAGTTTCATTAGAATTTGAAGTGTCACTGTGGCAAAAATGTAGCTATCATTGCCCACCCTACAACAACTCCCAATTGTGAAGTGAATCGAGAGGATGCGAAACGCTCAATAGGGGAATGCAGCACCGGACAAGATACCTAAACCAAACTCATCTGCATCCACGGAGGAACATGATCGACTTCTTTCCAACTACGGTCCATGAAATTCCTGGCCACCGCAATACGAGAGACGTTAGGAATTGCACCAATCTCCAATCCACTACACTACTTGGCTGTTGTGATAAAACCCCGGGAGCGGAACGCTGCAGAGGTCTGATCACAGTGGCATTCTGAACTTGAGAACAATTTGCGCACAAAACAGGCAATTGCAACGAAAATAGACAGCGGATGGACAATCGCCCAACTACAAATTACCTTACGAGGCGAAAACCATCGAATCTTCCAACCTTGCAAAGCGAAATTCTATCCATACTTACAGGAAGGATCAAAAGAGCGATACAAAAAATATGATAATTCTGTGTTACCTGTGCAGCATACGCAGCTCAGGGCATATCTTGTCCACTTGTTGGCTCCGAATTACCTACACACTTTCCAAGATGATTTAACCTTCCAGAGAATAAGATACGAAGACAAAAGTACTTTGAGAATGCTGATTCTGATGCGGGTGATTCACACAAGATGCGGTGCAAACCCTGTGATTGTTAGGAGAGCAGTGATTGCATACTCGGAAGAGTAGCGTCAAAAGTTTCTGATGTTATTCACTACAGGCGCCAACGGACCGCCAGGAACGCAAACGAGAAGCAGCAGCACGGCGATCAGGCCAGTAAAGAGCGAGGGAATCTGCCACATCCCCACAACCTCTTCCACAACTTCCTCACTTTGTTGCATCACGCCCGGGACTACAACAACCGTCACGAAGAAGAACACGAGCAGCGCGAGCATGAACAGCGGAAGCATTTGTTATCTCAGATTTTACCAGGACCATCTACGTTCGGAAGAGAGGGTTTCCGAAATGAGATCAAACTCGAGCGAACTCCAGAAACGGTAACAACAAGTCACCGTACCCACAAGCTAAAAAAACTACTCACGCGTTAAAACGAGCCCCAACAAAGACATCTCCAAATGAGTTCTCCTCCAACACAGCAGAGGTTCAAAACCTCGAACCCACCGACAATACATACGCGATCAACCTAATTCTCTTTTAGCGACGATGATCGAACCTCCAGACAATCGTTCAAAAGACACATAACAAAATTACTCTCATACACGGGATTCATCAGGTCAATGGCCTGCTAAGCTCAAGATTCTACCCCTAAACTACAGATTGGGGAATCGTTGGCATAGCAACGGTACTAGCAATCCAACACTCGACATTCAAACCTGTGCACGAGGTGAGGCCACAAACCACTCCCAATTGGCGAGAAATATGTGTTTGTTTCTAAACATGGCCATTCACGAAAAGGGTAATGCATAGGAAAACAATTCCACAGGGAAATTTCACAGGTGAAATTATGCAACGTGAGGATTCGGTGCGGCGATGGAGTCCTTGTTCAATCCGTTGTGGAGGAGGACGTGATGCTGACGCACCGCCATTGACTTGAAACCCCCAATTGGAGCACAAAATTCGATGATATTCCTGAAATCTGACAGTTAATTACTTTGACGTATCTAGAACTTCACTCAAAAATTTCCAAAAAAATTCAAATTTGATATTTCGGGAAGGTTTATATCTATGAGCTTTCGGAGTGGTGGCATCAGTAATTACATAAAGAAATTTCGATTTTGTGTGACAGTGCTGTTCGTTCGAATGGATTCATCATCTTGCTAGATTTTACATTCTACAGTTCGAGGTCACAAGACCGGCCCTGAGTTTGAAAACCCTCTTGATTAGAGGATGGGATTTTGGAGGAAAGATTGAGAATGATGTATTGGTTAACAGGCTTGCTTGGCTCAAAAACTCTGACAGTGGTGTCTTCGTATCAATGCTAAGTGGAATTTTTTTATTGAAATGTACTGAGGAGATTGTGTATTTACCGCTCAAGCATACATCTCATCACCTTGCTTGTGAAAATGAGCATTTTCTATGTCATGCTAGAATGCTTCGGTTAAGGACCGACGTTGAAGTTTTGTGTAAAATAAGTGAACAAAATGTGTGTGCTGCACTATAGTAGAGATGATGTTGCTTCGCTTTGTTGATTCAGAGATGGCAAACTGTTCACAGTTAAACACGCAGCATACGTGATTCTCAAGAAGCACTACACCTGGCTGCTTCGGATCATGAAACTGAAAGATTTTTAGACCAAGTCAGTTGAGGAATTCAGGAATTGGGCACAGCAGTACTGAATTTGAGCAGCCAAGGTGCATCGAATTAAGACAGCTTTGAGAGAAAGTTTATGAACTAGATAGAGGAGCAGTCGACTCTCGTCTCTCGTTCTCACTGTCCGCCCCAATGCGATACTCTCCACAATCATACGAAGCCGCTTGAAGTCCAAATTCTTTCAAGACATCCTCAACTCTGAGAAAGGTGAAACTTCTGCTCTGAAATACAGTTCTATGGCAAGACTCTCCATCATTATTTGCTACCGCAGGTGCACTGCTTGGACGCACAGATGGTGGACCTGTAGCGACACAAACCTGCGAAAAAAGATGTTAATTAATCACCAAGCGATCATCCGGAAAACCCTGCAATTCAGACTATGCTCTCCGAGTGCAAAGTTAAATTTTCTGACTCCTTTGCATCGCATACATGAGATTATTCTCGGGCAGGTTTGGAATATACCACGTATTTGAAGACTCACCCAGTGTTCAGGATCCAGCTTGTGCAAGAAGAATTGCCACTCTGTTGCAACAATACCATCGATGTAGACGTGCGCAAGGTCGCCCCATATCATATCTTTGTCGTAATGAAACTCAGCCCGGTGAAGCTCAAACCCTAATCCAACCCCTACTGCCTTCACATAGGCTTCCTTCATGCACCAATGCCTATGCGTACAACGTGGGGATTATTATCAGGTTTCTCGCTAGTCGAGAAGTTTTAGGTATAGCAATGTGCGTGTGGTGCTTGAAAATATCGTAAATCTCCGGAAACAAGTGATTGAAAGTTTTACAGCAACTTGACGACGGGAAACCTAGTGCTTACCTGTAGAACTGATCAAGCATGCTGTCGGAATCAGGTCCTCCAGATCGAATGATCATCCATTCGAAAGGGGTGAAATAAGTGGTAAAATTTTCAAATAGCTTCTCGGGAAGCAGATCAGAGTGACTATGGCGTGAAATGATATCCGTACCCACCAGCGACACGGGATCTGACACTATCACCACATAATCACCATCGTGGCTCACATTGAAATTGAGGTGTGGTAACCTTGCATTTGGTACTGACACCTGATGACTCCAAAAAAAAAAGTTAGATGACTAAGATCACTTGAAAACAAGTGGCAAGAAGATACATTTGCGGAAAACCCTAACCAATTGATTCACTTAACAAGCGTGATCACTGAGTAGACAGCTAGAAAGATATTTGGAAATTCCTCGCCAGAGAGATCCTTTCAGCATAAAAAGGTGCAGTAGCAGTATAATTCTCCAACTTGGGGATCCAAATTTGATATATCCAAAACAAAAATTGCTTCTGCAGGCCCGAAAAAGAAGTGGGAGGGAAACGGACCAGATAAGGTTTGCCTGTCGGTGTGCGCTCAATGCGTATACTATCGTAATCAATACTCAGCAAGTCGTGGAACAGCTTGCGCTGCAATAATCTGCTCATTAACGCTCGTTTCCGATCATCCTTACTTGAAAATCTGTTTTCACACGAACGAAGGACGTGAACCACATCGGAACAAAATCAAAACAGGGCAATATTCTTAATTTTATAATAACGCTCGGTTAGACACAATGCAATCAAGGGATATTTCTATTTAATGGAACCAGTGATTCGACAAGGAGATATGTGGTGTTCATCGTTTAAGAACTAACCGCAACACAGAAGACCATTCCGAAGGAGGTAGTACCGCCAAACAGCAGTTGAGTTGCTCATCGGTAGGGATCCACTGCGTTGTGTTCACAGCCCATCTCACCATGTCTCCAGCAATACTACAAACTTCGTTCATGTCCTTTAAGACCCAAAGGCTTCGCTCTACAAGGCGTTGCACCTTGAATTCAACAGGACAAGCTCGCAGTGCACCCGGAGGACCCTCAGAAGATAGGGCACCTTTTGGTCTTGCGATATACGTGAGTTATTTGGTGAGGGGAAGAGAGATGCTTTGGGACAGATCATGTAAACTTCTTCAGAACTATTTCTGCTACAAGAAGGCTATCCGCAATTAGCTTGAATAGCCGTCTTCTCCATCCTCATAATTCCACAGCTGTACCCATTCCTCGACATTCAATATTCGCGTTAAAAGTAGCAATCAACTGTTGAGTGACAATGCGTTCGAACAAAACATAAAACATCAAGCACTATGTCCAAAGCACATTCGTAATGGTTTCCAAAAGAACTTCAAATTCATTTATAACAGAATTTGATTAAGCATAACACTGAGATTGAGACAACCAAGAAGATCAAATTCACAATTTTCAGCTTGTAAACATGCCACCAAACATGCTACGTCTGGGCATGTCATCGTCTTCTACATCGTCTCCTCCGTGTTCAGTGCTTATCTTTGTTAACCTCTTGTAAAGTGGTTCAATATCACCTATTCTTCCTAGCTTATCTAAGAGCATAACCATCAGCTGCAAAGTTTGCGCAAGCTCTGGACTGTCGGGACCTATTTGTTTCTCTTGGATGGCTAAGACTCGTTTCATTAACGTCAGAGCCTCCTCGAACCTTCCCATCGAATGCAGGATGGACGCCAGGCAGTTGCATGCTTCCGCTGCACAAACATTAAATTTCACTTGTACTCATCAGCCAGGCTGGTACAAAAAAATTGTATGTACAAAAATAAGTCTCAGTTTGAGCTCTGACGAATGTGCATTCGTGAGAGATGTAAATGATTTCGAAACTACATCTTCAAACACGAGGGATAATCACGGTGGCACATAAACCCATCAGCCAAAGGATAAAATTTAGATAAATATAACAGTGCTTGATCGGTTGTAAAAGAAAACATCCTGCTAGTTTATTTAATACTGCTGAATTTAGGTATGTCCATGAAAATCCTTCATCTGACACTAGCAGTTCAACAGCAGCCATTGAATGAACGTAAGTGAGCCAGTTACTAGAATGGATGAGCGAGCTTACCAACAATGGGACTCTCCGAACCAAACGCAGCCTCACGGATGTTAAGTGCTTGGCGAGCAAGCGGCTCAGCTTCATACTGCCGACCTGTATGGTGCAAGGCGGTTGCCAAGCACTCCAATGGCACTGAGACCTGCGGAGCATTGGGGCCTAGGTTCGCTGTCGTTAGCTTCAAACTGCGTCGCAGAAGAGGCACGCACTTCTCATATTTTCCAGAGACAGCATATGATGTGGCCAAATTCTGGAGATGCACCACCAATGTGGAATCATTCGGACCAATAGCTCGTTCTTTTGCATGCAGGTTTTTCTCCCAGAGCTCCTCAGCTTCATCATGCCTGTATAAAGAAAAATCTTAAGTTATTGCTGAAGCGCAAAACCAGAGAATACGATGGATTCAATGAAACAACAACAACCAAGAGAGTTGATGTACCTTTCTAAAAAATTGAGCAATTCAGCCAGATCTGTACGCACTGTCTCTAATGATGGATCATCATCCATAAACTTAGTGCATCCCTCCATAACTTGCAGTCCCTCCCGATACAAGGATATAGATTCATCGACCGCGCCTGGCAAGACGAAGATGCGTTAAGACATTTAAAAATTATCGTGTCCAATTCCGAAGGAACGTGGTAGCTCAACTTACTAGGATAAAACAGAATAGGATGATCCAATCACGTGTAATTGATCCAACAACTGCTTTCTTTGTATCGAAGCAATGCTTTACATAGAAACCGTCAATGTATAGGGGATGTAAGTAAATAGATATGACAGCAATTAGATTCATAATTTGAAATTTGCAAATGTACAAATTTAGGCACCTAAACGGCTTAAGAGTAGTACAACACTGAGAAGGAGACTCAGGAGTATGAAACAACATGAGACCAGGACCATGGTGAACTTCAGCAAAATTTCATTGTTCACCTCTGGCAGCTTTAGCCCGAGCTAGTGCACATTTCGCAATCCCTACTCTCCCATCCTGTGCTCCAAATGTTTTCTCCACAAGCTTCAGGGCTCTGCAACATCAAGTATTCATAGACGAAATGAAAGGAATAATTAGTGCTGCTAAAAAACTAAATGAAAAACTATGTGTAGTAAAGCACAAACTAGAGACCAAACAGAAGTCACCAGGATACCTGAAGTTTGGATAGTGCTTAGTAAAACTCAAGAAGCGCGATAGTATTTACCACTTAATAGGTTACAAATTAAGCTTGTACACTGTGCCTCTATATTCCTTGACTGGGCAGACCATATAAGGCCACGAGGAAAAGTCCAAACATCAGAGAACTATGCAATTCAAAGTAACAACCAACACCAAGTAAATCTGATTATACTCAAATACATCCTTAAGAAGATATTCAGTACTTGAGATATGTCTAACGTGTAAGGTTGCATGTCAGCACTTTGAAATTAACCAAAGACTAATGTGATAAGTCATCAGTATGTAAAGAGCCTCTCACCTAAGCAAAGCAAGCTCAGCTTCATCCACTCTGCCTTCTTCCAATAGACAATGTCCTAAATGTGAAAGCGGGAGCGCCAGTGATTCATCGGTAGGTCCTCGGTTTTTCTCTACAATCATCAGGACTCTTTTGTACACTCCAATAGCCCTGATAGTATCATCCATGTCCGTTAATGTAGTGGCTAATCCCAAAAGTGACTTCACTATCAGTGGACTTTCTTCTCCTGCATAAAAACAGCAAAATAATGAAAATCCAGAACCAATATTTTAACTCGAAAGCAGAGGTATATTAAAGCACTCGCATTAACAATCTCGACGTAGACTTTCTATGCATGACTCAAACTTTGATGTATCAGCATACTCAACAGTAATCGTGAAACGTTTCGGACAGTAAATTTCCGTCGCAAAAAAGTTCAGCCATAAGGGCTCCAAATTCTGGTTTTTTTCCCACCAAAAGGGCTCCAAATTCTGGTTTTGGTATGTACCTAGTAAATGTTCTTGGATTTCAATACTCTTGAGATAAAACGGAAGTCCTTCATCAGGCTTGCCTAAAGCTGTGTACATGCTTCCCATATGCTCCAGTATCCTGTCAATAAGGGGCTGCTTTGAATCGATTCCAACAATCTCCATTAAATCTTTGGTCTGCATGCATGCACAAATTGCAATTTAGAAGCTAAACCAAGACTGACATGAACAATTTGTGCAAAAATAGTCGAAGCGGGAACAGCAAACTACTACGTACCCCACACAATTTACAAATTAAGTTGAAAATAATTTATTTGCATACATTACAGTAATTGATTTCAATCTTTTTACGATGCTGATGGGAGACAAAAGCGCTCTCTAGAGGTAATCAAGGAGACAAACCTGGTCTAGCAAATACTCTGCTTCCTCAAATTCGCCTAAGCACAAACGCAGCTGCGCCAAGATGTCCAGCATGGCAATTTGCTCCAAACAATGGTATCCAGACTCGAGTTGCTCTGCAACAACCTCATAATTGGCTTCAATTAACTCACGGGCAGTCCCCTCGTCTCCTTCTTCTATCATTTTAAGTACTTGCCCATAAAATTCCTGTAGCTGATCATGTAATTCAGTGGATTCGTTTGAGGTCCCGGTCTTCGCACCACTGTTTTCAGCATCTCTGTTCCAGAAATGAGGAAACCATACGGATGTAAGTATACAGTTTCGTAACCAAGAAAACCTTTAACAGCAGAAAAACTTCTTTCTTAAAAATAAAATAAAATAAAAGAGAAAGAGGAAGCATTACCCCATTTCTCGCATAATCTTCTGTGCCATTTGACTATCTTGCGTAGCCATGGCCATCGCAAAACGATTGAACTGTTCTTCAAGCATTCTGTCACTGGTTCCATCATCGTCATCCTCAACTATTTCTACCCTACTGTAACCTGCACTGCCAGGTTTTCCATCTGCACCTCTGCAAACACGACGCCGGGTTCAATGTAATCAATGAACTTCAAAAACTTAGCAGCAACTACGACGAGAAAAATGAAATTTTATCTTTTGAAAAATCAAAAACAAATATAAAAAATCTACAGCAAGCTCAGCCATAAATTCTTCTGCTTCCTTGCAAGACCAAATTCCTCTCACCACTTGCAGTGTAAATGCTTGATGTTTATTCAACAACATATTACCACATGCTATGGCTAAAGCCTGTGAAATTGCATAAATCGTCTAGCTTGCACTTACATGAGTGCAGATGACAACAACCGGCTATCGAGAAATGAACCACCATCTTTATTTTTCGCATTCGTTTGCTTGAGCTTTCTAGAATGTCTGCACGCTCAAAAGAAAATGATCAATAAACTACAATAGAATCGTCACTTGTAATTCTCAATACTGGCTCTCTAGCAATACATAAGGCGTCAATCTAAACATTGTTGAAAGGATTAGGCAAATATTGTGTGTACCAGGATAATCAGCCAGGACTATACTTAAATTATTCAGCTGCAATGATTAAATTGCCAATTTTCAAAAAAACCAGGATGCTCAAAAATGGCATTCATACCTGCTACTTCTGCGACTGAATCTCTCAGGCAACTCTACAAAGAAGCTCGATGATGACAGACGTGATTGAGTTTTCCTCTTTTCAAGTTTCCATTTTAGCGAGTTAAATGTATTTCTGATGATGGAAACTTGCGCAGAGCTCGAAGAAAAGCTGGTAGTTGGACAAGGTTGATGCCTGGAGCAAGTTGGTATCTGAGCGGCTATTCCAGGCTCCGCCCCAACATGACGACTTTGCTGGGCAAAGACATCTCTGCAAGTGCCACATTGAAATTGTTATGGAAGTGCATCACCATGTGCCTGTTGGCATGCCCTCACTCACAGAGCTCTTTGTAAGCAATTCCGTGGTAAATTCATGACCAGTAGAAACTTCAAAACCTTCGTCTAGTTCATTTCTACGAGTCCTATGCTTCATGCCAGGCGGCACTCTACTTCCTCCAAGATGAGATTCCCTGAATAATTGAAACGGTAGTGCATAAACTCTCAACCCTAAAATGCAGGATACTTTTACAGCATTGAGAAACTACTATGGCAACCATCTTTAAAGTATGTTTTTAAGGCTGCAATTTCATTAACAATCAAAGCTTGAGTCTTCACCAAGTCATTTCACTACGACGCAGTCAGAACTCCTCATCAGTATCCTCGATACCAAAAAATAATAAAACTAATTAAAATGATTCAGTCGCGTTCCGACAATTTCAATGAGCTTAGTGCACGCTACTATGTATTCTTTCTCACAACTGGCAACACAGAATTACGACAGCAAATCTACCACAGAAATACCAATGCTCTTTGATAGTGACTCACTGTCCATCCGAAGCATACCCGTTAACAAAACAAGCAAATACTTGCGACAGTAGCACACCATACACAATTCACATGTCACAGAGCAATATCAAATGAATTCAATCCGATTTTTACAACACACAAGCATAATCAGTACCAAAATGTGAAAAGAGCTAATACCGGGCAATAGAAGTAGAAACCGAGACTCCAAGGGCCTTGGCCATCGAAAATGCGGCATTGACCATCCTTCTGTCAAACACTTCCGCTCTGCACCCCTGCCATATGCAACCCGCTTCTCTCACCAGCCCAAACAACCTTAAACCCCAACTTATCCCCTAAACCTCTTCATTCCAACTAACCACACCAGTCTCCATAATCACATCGACTACTACATGAAAAAGCATTTCAAAATCTAAACCCAGCTCGTTTCCTCCTGCTTACAAGAGCCTTCTCACAACCCCGGCCTCCTCCCGACCATTCTATCCTCACCCAACCCAACTTCTCGGACACTAATTTCAAATGCAAGATTAGAAACCTAATCTGGAAAGTTCTCCTAAACCCAAAATGATGAATGATCCTGGAGAGCGACTCGGCACAACCCAAGTGCGAAAGGGGGATTGCGAGTGCAGTGAGGCACGAGCGAGCTATGAATTGGTGCGATGAAGTGTTGCTGCTACTGCGTTGTGCCGCTTTCGGCAGCGCTGCTGCGTTGTGCGAGTTCCAGGCAGCCATCTCGTCATCATCTTCATCATCTTGGCTTTCCCTTGGAAACCTGATGGATGGATGAATGAGCTGATAGTGGATGAATTATATGTTCATCCGATATGAGGCCCCTTCGTCGCATGTTCATCCATCCACCAACACAGAAGGGACTCAGAACAGATCCTCTCTCCGTTCCCACCTTGTCTGAGGTTTATGTCTTATTTTTCGTAAAATGAAATGTAAAACATGAAGTTGAAATACGGATATTATTGATAAAAGAACAGATAATCATCATTAAAATATTTTTTAAATCATAACTAGAAATTATATATATATATATATATATATATATATCTAGAGGGGAATGTTAAATAGATCCACGCTTTTACTAAATTGACCCATCCATCTTAACTATTGTAAAAAACAAAATGACCTCTAAATTCATTTCTCTACTGCTATATACAAAACCAGTGAAATCCAACCACATTCATCATGATTACCATATTTTTCATTTAAACATTAAACATTCCTCTCTGTCCCTTTATATAACTATTCCATGAGTAATTTTAAGATTGAAACACTCTTGTATAATTTTTCTGATTTTTTCTTTTAAATAATTAAACATGATATTTTCATATTTTATTAGTTGATATGTTACCTTTGGCATAAAGCTTTAGCAATCAAGATTTTCAGTTATTTCCCCAGTAAGGTAGGGATACATTTTTTCAAATTTTCAATTGTCTTTTTCTAAAGTGTTGCATTTACACAAGTTTTATTTAAAATTATTTTGATTATTATTATTATTATTATGAAAAAATGAAAACAAATCTAAAAAATGTGAAGTAGCCTTTTATTCTGTTATTGCTTTAGCTCTTTCAAGACCTATCAAGCATAGACTATTACATGAGTGCTAATTAATATCAACATTGCAATAGTAAGGACCAACTTTTTAGAAAATGTTTTCAACAGAAAGAAAAAAAAAAAAAAAATGATGGTTTTTGGAAAATCATCATTGAACAGAAATCACAATAAACTCAAATTACACACAACATTGTATAAGAGTACATTTGGCGGATTACTTAACTAAACTTTGATAGTTCAACAAATTACAAAACAACTAATTTCTACCTTTAACTTAGAGGCTTTCTACTACTTTACAGAACTAACAACTCTCATGTAATAAACATTAAAAAGTAGTTTGTTTGTGAATAAATATATACTTTTCTTTTAATTTGATATTCCCAAACATTTTTTTTATAGTTTTTTCTAAAATAGAATATTTGTTCAAAAAGAAAGTTACAAAATCAATTTGTTTCAATTTTGTACTATTTCTATTCAAAACATTATATGTTTCGAATTTTGTTTGTATACATACAGACATATATATATGTATATATGTATATAAGTATGAAAAAATAATTCTACCAACCTATAGCAACTTGTGTATTCCTGCGATGTCAAATTCCCACCGAATAAGCAATTGCAGGGTTACAAATTTCTTTTTACATCAAGCAATATAGGATTGTCTGCACAATACATGTATATTGTGCCCTCCTTTCTCAAGTAGTCCATTGTGTAGGAAATTGAAGGCGCCTAAGTATTGCTGAGACGCAATGAAGCCTAATCTCTCCATGATATAGTGCACATGGCAAACCTCGCAAACAAAAACCCAACACTTGCATAAAAACTATACGATACAAGTTTGTGTCAAACCATTCAAGAAAATTCTCAAAGGTGCCAAAACTCCCAGTCCTAAATTGATCAAAAAGTTCAGCATTGCATTCCCTACAATCAAACAACCCAATAGATTCACTCAGGGCAGATACTTAAGCTTGGACATATTAAATTCAAATATCTATAATATCTTTGTCATCTCCTACATCAAGCATGTTGGATGCAGGTGCAGCTCTACTTCCAAAGAGTTTCCCTAAATCTCCTAAATTTCTTATATCAAAGTCGTCGTCGATATAATCCTCTCCCTCTCCCTCTCCAGTTACTTGTTCTGAAGCGCTCAGCTTGGCTAACCTCAGATACAAAGGCTCAATCTCTTCTTCTCTTCCACACTTGTCTAAAAGCATAATTAACAACTCTAACGTGAGTACAAGAGCAGGACTGTCAGAGCCTAGCTCCTTCTCTTGAATGGCTAACACACGCCTCATCAACGTCAGAGCCTCGTGGTATTTTCCATTAGCATGCAAGATAGACGCCAAGCAGTTGCATCCTTCCCCTGCAGACAAAAAAATAAAAAAATAAAAAATAAAAAGCCTTAGTTGTAATTCCGTTTAGAACTAAACATACTTCACCGAAAACAAACAAAAATATTGAAGAGTGATTGAATACTGTAGAACTTTAGGTGAGGGATGAAATTATTGGGAGCTACCGAAGCAGATAGGGAATAAGGAGTAAAACCTCTTAAATCTTTGCAAGAGGACTTCACAAGGGCTAACTTACCGACAATGGCACTGTCAGGACCAAAAGCAGCCTCCCGGATTTCCAGGGCTCGGCGAGCAATTGGTTCTGCTTCCACCTGACGTCCCAGATGGTGCAATGCTGTTGCCAAGCACTCCAATGGCACGGACACTTGTGGAGCATTTGGGCCCATTTCTTCTACTGTTAGCTTCAAACTGCGCCGCAGCAATGGTTCACACTTCTCATGCTTTCCGGCTGTGGCATATGACGTTGCCAAGTTTTGCAGATGCACTATCACAGAGGGATGATTAGGACCGAACAATCTTTCCTTCACGCGCAAATTTTCTTCCCACAACTTCTCCGCTTCATCATTCCTGTTCATGATCAACTTTCTCAGCACCTCCTACTGCTAAAACAAGATATTGTAGAAGTGAAAACATTCAAGTTTCACAAGATTTATTTACCTCCCTACAAGGTTGAGCAGCTCAGCCAGATCTGTGCGTGCTGTCTCCATGGATGGATCACCCTCTCTCATGCTGTCGCAGTTTTCCATGAGTTGCAATCCCTCTTGATACAAGAAAATAGATTCATCAACCGCACCTGTGAATGGCAGGTAAATCCGCGCTCAAGTTTTATTTGCATTCAAGATGTTTAAGAATATCGATTGTTCACAAAGGAAGAAATATGTGGCATAGAGTGAAAGGTTGGAATCATGAGCACGTTCAGAGTTAAACATTAATTGCATACCAGCAGAGGCTTGAACTCGAGCTAGTGCACATTTGGCAACCCCAACTCTGCCATCCTTTGGTCCATACTTTTGCTCCACAAGTTCTAATGCCCTGCAACACCATATAGTCAGATTGCCACCCCAGCAAGCTTTGACATATGATAATACTCATAAGAGTGTTGGACGTGGGATACTGGATAAGCACGCATACGAGAAACACAAATACAAAAGGATTTGATACATATACACTGCAGAATCCTGATAAATACACTACAATTCAGAGCGTAACTATGCTGAAAATCAATTAAATCGTGCACGTAAAATTGTAACACGACAATCCACAATCGACAGTCTATTCCATAGAATAAATCAATTCAAAAAACTCACCTATGCAAGACACTTTCAGCTTCATCAATCCTATCTTCTTCCAAGAGACAATGTCCTAGTTTGGAAAGAGGAAGTGCCAGTGTTTCATCGTTGGAGCCTTTTGTTTTCTCGATTATTGTCACTACTCTATTGTAAACCTCGATAGCTCCCCCTAACTCGTCCATGTCAGTGTATGTGCTAGCCAACCCCAAAAGCGTAGTTACTAGCAACGGACTATCCTTTCCTGCACATGGTCAACATAGTCCCATGAACTCACTAGTAATTCACATATTAAGATCAAATGCACGCTTAAAGTCAACTTAGTAAAACTAGAAAACGTACAACTTAACCATGCAGTTTTAGAATTCAAGTAATTGAGCTCAAGTAAAATTCCTTCAGTCGGTTCTTCAAACACTACTAAAAGATCTACTGATCATAGATGCAGGAATATCAGGATTGCACAGACTATGATTATAAAAGCTCAGTCCCGTAACTTGATTCAATAACTGCTTGACTAATCTTGAAATTAAATAAACAGAGAAAACGAAAACTGCAAATGTTGCAAATATTTACCGACTAAGTCCTCTTGAATTTCAAGACTCTTCACATAATAGAGTTGTCCCTCAGCAGGTTTGTCTAACGCAGCGTACATGGTTCCCATGTGCTCTAATACCCTGTCGGCAAGGGGTTGCAGTGAGTCGATTCCAACAACCTCCAATAGCTCCTTAATCTGCGGACATGGACACGTTTAATCCTGAGTATTTGAAAGAGAAACACACACACACACATAAATAAATATATATATATATATATATATATATATATATATCCATACATGACTTATACAGTGACAAATGTAATAAAGTTACAAACATAGTTCTGTGGCTAATATTCACAAGCACAACTCCTGGAAAAGGTTCAATAGATTAACAAACCATCTCTAACAAATACTCAGCCTCCTCGAATTGACCCAAACTCATTCGCAGCTGGGCCAGAGTATCCAGCATGGTAACTTGCTCCATTCCTCGATAGCCAGACTCAAGCTGCTCCATTACAACTTCAAGATTGGCTTCTATTAAGCCAATGGCAGTATCCTCGTCTGCTTCTTCCACCAACTGTACAACTTGATCATGCAGATCTTGTAGCTGCATTTGCATGGCGTTTACTTCATTCACCAAGCCCTTCATCTGTTTTATATCCACAGAATATCTGTTGAAAAGAAAATTATGACATCAGTGATTACGGGACGTTATATAATACCTGAAAGGTCAAACATGAAGAATACCAATGAGGTCCACTTTCAGTTAAAATCACCAAATAGTAGTTCTTTACACAATGAGCTTAAAAATGTTAAGCTATTACCCAATCACCTCTCAATTGCATAAGAAAGGGAAATGTTCACGAGGAAAAGAACTTGTACCCCATTTCCTCCATAATTCGTTCAGCGAGTTGATCGTCCTGCGATTCCATAGCCTTTTCAAAGGAACGGAACTGATCCTCAAGCGCTGATTCAACATTTTCATGGTTATCCTCAATCACTTCTAATTTTCTGAAGCCTTCATTCCCAAATTTACCTTCTGCCTTTATAGCTCGTGATAAGGAAACATCCAGGTGCTTTCTGCCATGTCTGTTTGAATCGCAGCAGAAGCTTTCGGGTAACACGCCGTAAAAGCTTGAGAATGGTTGTCCTTTGATTACTTCTCGACATTTACGTGCGCAAGAAACTTTCAAAACAATTTTTGGCAAGCTCGTCTTCGCATACGCTGGACACCTGAAACTTCTTGAATCCTGGTTTTTGACACCAGACTCTACAACGATGTGACAAAGATGCTGAGCAGAGACACCCCTGCAACACCACATTTCCAATCCAATGGCTAATATCAGCACGGTTTATACTGAGTATCAACTCCTTTGTCCAGCTTTATTCTGCACATTCTACAGCGACGCTTGAAGAATAGCTCCACCACACCTTCGGTCTGGTCTGGATGGTGCAACATTCATACACAGCCCTAAACCCTAAACCCTAGAGACCTCGAGCAAGTACATTTAACAGTCCAATCGCCAGAATTGTCAAGTATAAACTAAAATGTCAACTTCAGACATTCGCACCGTCCTGACCAACTTTCTAACCCAAAACTTCGTGTGATTCAAGATTTTAACACGTAATTCAAAGCTCTACAGGCTACAGCATCACTCCCAAATTCGCCCTAGGCCTTCCCGCTCCTCACAATCACATTCTCCCCCAGACCTGCCGTAATAATCCTAACCTATACGCTTCTAATGACGATGCCCGGAGACCCGAAGCTAAAATTCGAACAAGGAAAATTCTCAGCAGAAGGCTTATTCGTAATCACTGCTCTCCAACAATTACAGTACGCTTGAGACCTCACGCAATTCATACATTCGATATAGTTTCGCCGAAGCAACAAAACGACATGTCCGGTAGAGAACACAAAAATGGGGAAAACAATACCGAGCTTTAAAGACCGAGAGAGCAAGCGATTTCGCCATTGCAATGGTGCCAACCACTCTTCTGTCAAATGCTTCTCTGCTCAATTCCACTCATACAAACCCAGCTACGCGCCACGCTTGGAAACTCCTCCTCCTTGTTCAGACCCGTCAATTCAACCACCACTAGGAAATTCCACGGAAACGATAAACCTCTGCCGAGCCACGCTTGCAATACAGCAAAACTTTTAGAGGAATGCGAGCCCTAAAGCCCTCCTGAGAGAATTCGTGCAATATTTCGGCTACTCTGCAGCTGGCCGCTGTTTACTGATTCGCAACGATGCCGGAGCTTGCAAACCCTCCGATTTGCAACAAATCTAAGCTCCTAGAAGTTGGTTTCGGGATTTCACAAACGCAGAAAAGCAGCGCGTACATTTTTGAAGAGAGCTTCCGTCCTCAACAGAAACTCGTGCAACTCCAAATGCAATGGATAAGATTCCTCGAAAATCGTTCGAGATGACGGAGCTCCGTCCGCGACGTGGCGGATTTGGCCGGATTCTGGGCTTCGTCGACGGAATATTTTTTAGTTGGTCTCTTTCGTCGAGTTTTCTCGTCCATTTCTATCTCACGTCGTCGTTGGGTCATGAACTCTTGGTTCCAAGGCAAATTTGGAACAAGCAGTTTATTGTACTTTTATAACTGCTGATTAGATTTGCATGAAAAACCACATTTTGATTGCAGAGAGCGTTAATTTCCAGTACCTTATCTAAAAAAATTATAATTAACTATTGATCATCCATGCTTTATTAATGGTTAGAAGCGCTTCCAATTTAAAGCTAATTAGAGATAGCCAGTAACAACATATTTTTTATGATCTTTGAATTGAGATAAAAAAAATTTGTGGTTTTTTTAAATGTTTTGGAAGACAATAGACAATGATTGCCTGACTATTTCAAGAAGAACAGATGATATTAATTTCTCTTGTAAATATACATACACTAAATTATAAAAAAATAAAAAAATAAAAACAAGAATGAACAATTTTGATTAATAAAATTTATTTTTTGAATATAAATCATTATCTCAAATATGTCTAAAATAATATTAGCAAAAGATGCCATGAAAAATATTTGAATGAGTGTTTTTTGAATATATTTTATTTTTATTAAAAATAATCTTAGTTGTTATATGTTTTTTAATATTATACAAATGCACAAATTTGTAAAGTAATAAAATATGTTCAAATAAATAATTAATATTTATTTTATTTTATTTTATTTTTGTAATATTTAATGAAATGTTTTAGTTTTGTGTACTTTAATTTTTAGTATATAATTAAATTATTATTTTTCTAAGCAATCACAAAAATTAATTTGAAAAAAATTCTAAATATTATTTTTTCCTATTCAAAACTATCAGAATTTTTTTTGCCTTCTAATGTATTAGATTTTATAACATTATTACTTAGGCTTAGGCTACAAACATACCTTAAGTTGCTACACACACACATACACACATATACATCTCATATTGATATATGTACACTCAAAAAATATGGAGGCTTGAAAATAGATGGGGGTTTTATATAGATCCTATCACTTGACACAACTATAAGGAAATTAAAGAGGGCAATGTTGTACTACATGTTGTCTTCTTTGGAAATGCACCAAGAACTTAATTGTGGAAGGTGAAGTTATATTTTATAAGTATCTAAGAAATCCTAATAGATTTCATCCATATAAAAAAAAATGCAATTCAAATTTTAATTCAAAAGTGCTTAAAACCAATACAAAGTACTCAAAAACACTCTATTTAGTAACCTCAATCATACACAAATTTCAATTGCCTTATTACTTTCATAATTAGGCAATTTTAATATCTCTTTGGAAGTCCTAATCATAGTCAATGAGCTTCAGTAAGCTATAACTTCTAATTTGATTATCCACTTAGTGTAAAATTTTGCATACAAATGCCACTATAAGTCTTCTACATGTTTAGAAAAATTAAGCCCAATCCAACTTACTAATTGTAAGAAAACATCCTAAAAATTGCATTGATGTTACTCACATGCCAACTTGAAAGTTGATGTAGATATTCTACTAGCAATTTCTACTTCTTAAACAATTAACTTCAACTCAAATTTTTTGTATAGCTTGATTTTAAGTCTTTTAAGATTATGCCAAATTTCACCTTATTTCAATTAATAGATCTTTAGATATTATAGAAATCCTATCCAATTCCAAATTCTCAACTTTTGATACCCTCTTGTACCAAAACCTAGATAACTCTCAATTTCATTATTAAATTAATACAAAATTTTATGCATACTTAGCATATCCAACCAACTAAATATAATCAAAGTTTGAATTATAGATGTGATATCAATTACTTAAACTAGGTGAGAGTACTTTTCTTAATTATATTACATAAATCCAAAGTCACCAATATAAATCCTAACTTTGAATAATAATTGAAAAGTTATTCTAAATCTTATAAAAACAAGCCTTATGCTTTTGAAACAAGCTTAAAGCTAACTCTTCAATTCTAGTTATTGATCTCCAAATACTTCCATATTTTGTCCCAGATAGTTATTTTAATAGCTAGAGGTCTAATTTTAAATGGTCAACCTCTATGTATCAATCCAATCTATCCTAGAAATTCTTTAGCTTGATCCTATCTTGAACTTAATCCTAGTATCAACCATACTAATTATTTACCTTTTTTACATTATTTTTATTATTTTATAGCCTCTTTAAAGTAATAAAAGAATTTCTACAATCTAGAAGATAAAATTATTAACCAATCTTTAATCTATTAGCTATTAAGATAAGAAAATAAACTAAGACGCTTTTGTAAAAGACATGTTTAAATGTCTTAAATCATTATTGAACTAAGATGTTTAAATATTAATTAGAAATTTATTTTTGATTATATTTTTACCATATAGTTGTGTTATAATATGACAGCATTAACCTTCCTCTTTTTAATGGTCTTGGTAGTCTACTAATACTTCTTGCAAAAGCATATGTGGGCATAGCATCTAAAATAAATTTTGTAAACTACACCTTATGTTAGTAGTTTTTTGTTAGTTTTTATTGCACCATGCCTTTTATTAATATAAGATAGAAGTATTGTGAAGAGTGGTTGTCAAATATTTGGTTAATATTGGATATTTTTTATAGGTTCATAGTTGCAGTAAGCCATATAAGTCCAATATTAGTTTGGATATCCAATCATTTGATTTTTGTGTACCTCAAAGTAATTTCATATCTAATGGCTTGTCTCCATATTTAACTTCAAATTCAATTTTAGTAGTTTTATGTGGATCTTCAAAGAGACTAGATAATTAAAAAGATTCATTGAAGGTATTGGTATTTTTTACTTTAGCATCTAATATTTTTTCAATTGATTTATTTCAATGTAGTTGAACTCTATTTATCCACATCCAATAAGTTGCTACTATTGTTTCTTTACATGGCTTTTAAATAAAGAACTTTAATTTGTCTATCCTTTCAATATTTTTTAGTAATAGATGAGATAATAACAATGAAAATTTTTTCTTCAAGACATAAAAATTATGTTTCTTATCAAATTTTTTGGTATTAAAAATACCTAAAAATAAAAATATGATAATAGATTCATACAAAAGTATCAAGATTCAATAAAATTCTTCAATTTATATTATTTGCATTATTTAAAGTTATATTTTTTTGGAGTCATTGACTTCATTGATAAATTATTGATTAGCATCAAAAGCTCTTACAGCCTCAACATTAGTACTATAGTTGTCCATCCAGATAGTCTTTTTTTTTTATCTTGGAAGTGAAATTTTTATAAGAAATTCCTTAATGCCTTTGTGCATTTGAACTCCTATAAATTCATAGTGAATACCAACTTTCACTATAGATTCCTTTTCTAACTTTCTTTAATATATATATTTTTTCAATTGTAACTAAGATAACCCAACCACTATTTTGTTTGATTTGTGAGATATTACAATTGAATTTTTGAAGCCATTTAAAAGTATGGTCATTGACTCCATTTAATCTCTAATTTTAGCATAAAGTTAATTATTCATTGAATCATTTATAAAATCATTTAGAAATAAACTTTAAAGAAGAAGTCAAGTTATATGAACTTATAGAATGTTGCATATATATCTCTTCATAGTAAAAAGCTTCAAAAGTTAAAGCAAACTATTTAAAAAAATTATGAACACTTTTTAAATTAAAAATAGAATAGATCTTATATTATCTCTTGTTTGACCTTGCATTAGGTGTGGATTGATGTGGTGCAATAAAAGCCAACAAAAGATATGGTGTAGTGAAAATTGATGAAAGAATTGTCAATACAAAATGTAGATTTCAAATTTTTTATTGAATATTTTGATCTCCTATTTCTTCTTTAATCTCCTTGCACTTGTGTCAAGTAGCAAGATCTACAAAAAAATACGTAGCAAATTCTAAGCCTCCATATTTTTTGGATGTACCTATATCAAAGATAAAAACTCAAAGAAGATACATAAACAACCAAGATAAGTATCAAACAGAGATGACAAAATGCTAAGGGCAAAAACTTGATAAAAATAAATAAAAAAGTGTGATTTTTTTAAAGAAGTATGATAAAATAATATATATATTAAAAAAATTAATATGGCTATTACTAAATGATAAGAAAATTAGAGACTTCTTGAAACTAGACTAAAAATAAGAAAGAAATTGATAAGATTGAAAAAAGACTTTACTCTTGCTTCTATATATACTATCTATCTAAGAGCTACATTGTAATATTCTATAAAACTTCTAAAACAAGATGACTTTATACAACATGTATCTTAAGTTGAAAGATAAGTTTTTTGTATGGATACCACATAGTTAGCTTATTCTGTAAGCTACCAACACATATAGCATGTGATTAACTTTTTGACAAAGTTTCTAACCTTCAAATCAACTACAAACATATTTTAAATTAAAGAAATGTCTATGAATTTTTTAGAAAGCTTTTCTAAAAGATATTATGAAATTAATATATTCTTATTTATTTCTATCTATTCATATTCTTTACATAATTATTATAATAAATATATGTTCATGATATTATCTTCCTTTCTAAGGACAAGTTCTATAAGGAGCAGTGATTATATATTTAGGAAGTCTAAGATGCACCAAATTATATTTGCCATATACTCTAATCTTTGTTTTCTTCAAAAATAGTTGATAAGTCCTCTCAACCATCGATAATGTCTCATCAAAGGACAAAAAGACCACCCTATTATTTCATCATTGTTGAGACTTTTGTAATCTCCTTTCAAACAAAACATTTGTAACACCATCAAGAGTTGTTCTTATCCTTAATAAAATCACCAAACATTAAGATTTTCTTCCTAGGTGATGATACCAAAAAATGTTATATCTTGCCATTTATTCAAAGAAGAGCATGTTGTTCTAAAAGGTCTTCATCTC